GAGTTTAATTGCGTAACGGGCACGCGCTAGATGCATTTTTGATAAATTTTCGTGGCGGTTTTTGTATTTATAAATTATTGAAAATGAATACAGGACAATTTAACAAGCGTTCGGGTGACCAGATTATGTACAATTGTACCGAAAGTAGTGAAAGTGATAAAGACACTAAAGTAGACAAACAATATGGAGCTTCTTCCAAAATAAACCAGGGAAACCGGAAAAGGAAATCTTCAACCGATAAAAAAGTAATCAAGAAGCAAAAAATCACTGATCGCTTTAAAATTTATAGCCTAGATGATAAATAATTAAAGAATAAAATTGGTGACTGCAAAATTTGCAAAAGAATGGGAACATCGACTAAAATAAAAATGAAAAATTGTAATACGAGTGGTCTCAGACGACATATGGTTGCTAAACATCCACGGTGTGTAGTAGAGGAAAGGCTTACTGCAACTGCAACATCTTCATGTTCAAGCAGCTTAAAGGAGAATTTTGTGGTTAGGCAAAATATTCCAATCCAGGTATGTATGTAAATGTATAAATCGAGGTATAAATATTGTTATTACTGCTTGACAAATCTAGCTTGAGACTTGGAAATGCGTGGTAGATAGTGAGCGGAAATGGGTCGAGAGCGAATATCCATTAACGTTACTGCGAATTCATGGTCAAGTCTCAAGCTACATTTGTTAAGTTTTTCATGGTTCCGAACTAGTTTTCCATAGATCTTTGTTATTTTCAAAGTCGTATTAAAAGAACATTTTTTATTTTGATATTCTGAACCTATTTTTTAGAATGTTTTTATATTCAGCCAATTTGTCTGTGTGTTTGCGTGTGAGTTTGTATGTTTGTCCGTCTGAGACTCTGACCAGTCTAACCGACAACGCAGTAGACATGGGTAACGCAGCGCTGCGTTGCGTTATTGCGTTAACGCAGTTGTATGCGTTACGAGCGTTGATACACCAGCTGTTACTGTATCAGCGCAACGCAATTTTCGATACTGAGTCGAAAGGATAAAGGATCGCGAGTTGTTGATGCGTCATGCGCCAGGCACTGATTCCGTTTTCCGTGAAGAGTTGAGAATTTTAATTTACGTAATTTATGCAACTCGTAATGCAGATTACCCAAAATCTATCAAGTAATTATGTTCTTTGCAACATGTCACATCATTTGTAGGATTGTAGGTTGAATTTTATGGATTTTAACCTTGTACACTGTCAGTTTTTATTTCTTCCCATTTTGATTAGCTACTAGTATACAAAAGTTATATCTTTTTTATATAAATTGGAATTTTTGCACTTTTGAATTTGTAAAATCCGAACACAATGAAATAAAAAAATGGGTGCATTACACTGTTATATTTTCGTTTATTTTTAAACAAATAATAAAAAAAAATCAGTTAAATTCCCAATTGCGTTATTGTCTTGAACACGGTTTGACCTTCACATTAGTAATCTATGGTTTGACCCTTATAAAAGGACAGTCCGCGCTGAATAACACCGGTATCATGCGATACACCGAGGTGCATCGACTTCATTCGGCGCAGGCAGTGGTGTGACGCAATAACGCAATGAGTTGGCGCAATAGAGTGCGCCGGAGTTAGTGTATCAACGCAAAGAATTTTAGTGCGTTACCCATGTCTACAACGCAGTGATCATATGGAAGTAATAGGTTTGTTCCAACAGCGATCGGAAACCAGTAACTGACACAGGATTCTGCGCAGTAGACAGTTTGGCGGTCGAAATAATCAACTGCGCAGATTCCTGGTGTCAGTGACTGATTTTTGATTGTTGTTGGAACAGACCTAATAAGCCACGTTCGCAGCATTGCAGCTCTAGTATTATTGAGCACACATTACCGATTTAGTATTTTGCTTCCGATTCTATAAGACGGATATCTTGTAATCACTTGCGTATTTGGAATTTTTCCAAGTAAAAGTTACAAGCAACATTATATTATATGCGGTTACGAGGAAGCTGTATGTGCCACTACGATTGGCAGTGTATTTTTTAGTTAGAATGCTATCGCAGCATTGACAGCTGTACTATTTTTGTTCATATATTACCCATTTAGTAATTTTTACTTTCCTATCTGTATACAGATATAAGGAAAGTATAGGAATCATGATTTTTACGTTTTGAGGTCCCCTGAATCCGTTTTGACTATTTTCGCGATGATGTCTGTGTGTCTGTGTGTGTGTGTGTCTGTGTGTGTGTCTGTGTGTGTGTCTGTGCGTGTGTGTCTGTGTGTCGCATAACTCATGAACCGATACACAGAAAAACACCAAATTGTAAACGTTAGCTTTGTCCCAGAGTCCAATGTGCTGATTAGATTTTGGGCAGTGTCGGAACATCTGGGGGGGTACTTTATAGGTGGTAATTTTTATATTTTATGGAATATATCTGTTATTTACGTTTGGGGAAGAAAATTCTTTAAATAAAAGTTACTTCTTATATTATCTATAATTTTTGTTCTATACAAAATTTTCCTAAAATGGTCCGTATTCGAGAAATTTGACAAAATGTAAAAAAATATTTTTTTATAAAAATTAAACAAAAGTTGTTTGTAATATAATTCTCTATAATTTTTATCCTATACATAATTTATCTAAAATAGACCGTATTCGAGATATTTGAGAAAATGTGTAAATTTCGAAATTTGAAGAAAACTCAAAAACGGATAAAGAAAAAAAAACATTAAATTTTAAACTTAAGTTTTATTTCGGCCTGACGTGAAATGATTAGATTTTGGACAAAGTCGGAACATCTGGGGGGGTACTTTATGGGGGGGCCGTTGTTATATTTTATGGAATATATCTGTTATTTATGTTTGGAGAAAAAAATTGTTCAAATAAAAGTTATTTCTAATATTATTATCTATAATTTTTGCTTTATGTCAAAATTTCCTGAAATGGTCCGTATTCGAGAAATTTGACAAAATGTGCAAAATTCTGATTTTTATGAAAATTGTTAAAACAAAAGTTGTTTGCGATATCGATCTCTATAATTTTTGTTTATACATGATTTTTCTAAAATGGACCGTAATGGAAAAATTGTAGGAAAAGTGCTAAATTTAAATTTTTCAGTATTTTCATTTTCAATGAATATCTATAGAAAAATGTTTCGAGGTAGATGTATGTGGAAAATGTATATATTTATTTTATCCTCCAAACATTTATGGAGGTGCTGCAATAGGTTGTACAAAATAACCGGAAAAAGCCTGTAATAACTAGATAGGAAAGTTATGTGTTGGACACATCAGATTTTTTTAGTTAGAATCATTTTAACTAAAAAGTATGAAATAAAAATATAAGTAAACAAAAAATATTTTAATGGTAGAAAGCTTTTATATTTTATTTTGTTGTAGCAGCATTCTAGGTTGGCTTAAAAAGGAAAAAACTAGCCGGATTTAGATACTAGCCAATTTAGAATGCTTTCAAAATTGTTTACTTATTTTCTACTTTGTAGTGGAATATCTTTTTTTTACTTTTATTCTATTACAATTACCGATTATTTTTAGTATTTCGTTCTTTTGATATTTGGTTTTTTCGATATTTATTTTTTAGTTTTCTGTTATATTTTCGATATTTTTGTATGTTTTTGTTTTAGATCACTTCCAAGTTCATCCAAGAAAAATTTATTAAATTATTAGTAAACATGATGGCCAAGAAGTATTTACCATTCAGTTTTTTTGAAGATAAAACTGTAATAGATTCGTACAAATATTTAAAAGAAGAGATATCACTACCAAGTAGATATATTATGAAGTCAAGTATATTGAAAACTTTTGCGAAGGTACAGCAGAATGTTACACAAGTTTTATTAGCAAAAACATCAAAAATCTCCTGTAATATTGATGGCTGGTCATCTATTTCACATCGCTCGTTTTATGGAATTACAGCCCATTTTATTACTGATGATTACAAGTTACAGTCAATCACATGCGAAGCATACAGGTGTACATATTGTCCAGCTGTTTTTCAAAGTGCTACGTTTCTATAATATTGAAAACAAAATTCAAGGTGTGACAACTGACAACACAGAATCCAATTTTACATTCACGTCTCATTTAAGCACTCTTATTCCAAGCTTTCTCGCAAAAATATTCACTTTTTATGCTTCGCACATATCCTAAACTTAGGAGCTAAGAATCTAATGAACTTGCTTACCGATAGTTTAATCAATAACGATATTTATGACCAGGATATTGAATATGAAGAAGAGTCAGAATTTCAGGAATCCGAAAGTGAAACTGAAGAAGTAATTGAAGAGCCTAATTATAATAATTTTTCTGTTGTTACCATCAGGCAATTGGCGAAAAAGCTTCAAAAATATTGGGTAGCTCCATGTTGGCTTCTCGAACCCATTTAAAATAAACAGGAGCGTTTTTGTCTCTGCTAGATGGTCTAGAACTCTGCGGCCTGTACTTTTGGGAGGGCCATCCCGGATTTACATGGCACATAATATTCCATATTAGTTAGAAAATGCACATGTCAGTGCCAAAACAAGGACTTCTTAAATTTTCAATCATCATTTCCTAAGTAATTCCTTATTAACCATATTTTAGTACTTTAAAACATACCACAAACCAAGGCACTGAATGCTGTAGAAACATAGTTATTTCCTCGTTAATTTTTACTTGTGGTCATCGAAAATTTAGTTGTTAGTAAACTGCTATTAAAGACTTTAATAGATACCATTAAATCAGTTTAATAAACATGAGAAAACTTGTTGGCATTAAAGTTTTTACTAATAGGTACATTATTGATTATTAACAGTATTACTGATATTAACAGAAAATTAATAATTTAGTAGACATTGTTTTCACAATGTAGTTCCTAAAATACCTATCATTTTTTCTATTTAACTGACCCTTAATAAACGTACAAACCAAAGTAAGACCCTGTCCAGAAAAAAAACTCCTGCTTTATTGCTAATGTAGATACAAATGCCTAATGAGTTCTCCTCTATCGCTACAAACGAAATTACAATTATTGGACATACATTTAAACTTGTCTTGATTGCCATCGGTCGCCTTGCTGTCATTATCACTCTTCGCGTTATTTTCGGTATTTTTTTCAGTCTTCAAGCTCTCGGATTGTTCCATATCATCATCAGTCTCATGTTTCGATTTGGTAAAGTCTTTTAAAAATTTGATACACTTTTTGGTGCTGGATTCGTAACGATTCCTATTCGAATTAGAATTCAAGTTCGAATTTGAATTTGAATTTGCATTTGAATTCGGATTTGGATGTTCATCTAAAATAAAAAAAAGTTAGTATGAGGTTTGGAGATTTGGGTGAGGTGACCCTTTTTATAAAACAGTACAAACTGGAACTTTTACAACAAGTACATAACACTATCCGAAAAATCAGCGTAGTTGACATAAAACTCACCTGGACCAAGTTGTTCTTTTATGGGCCAATAACAAGTTATATATACTCTCTTTAATCTCAACCTCCATAATGTGATACAGAATAATATTATTGTAGAATAGTTACAGTTGAAAAAATCACAAAAATAGTGATCGAATACTAATTTGTTTAATTACACAATAAAACAAAAGTAACGATATTAAAAATAAGACAAATTAATGAGCAGTTTTCATTTGGCATTTGTCCTCAACTAAATATTGTGACGTGGAGCCGTCTCTGTACTTTGTTTACTCCTTGCCCGCGGTAGGAAGTCTAGCACTGGCTATATAGAGACAAACGCACCGCTTCTGGAAACTTCTGGAATGATCGCGGTGCGGCGTATGAGTCATAGAGAGGTACTTTCTGAAGCTTCTAGGTCTCCTAGAGAGTTCTGGTACAGAGCTGCCTTTATATAAATAGCCGCGACTTTGTCGATAGGAAAAAAGATTCAATTTAAGTGTTGGACAGAAAAGATAAATTGTAATAAATAAATAAACTATAGATAAATTAAACAAACGTTACATTGGTGTTAGAAGTGAACTGTAAATAAATATTAAACAAATATGGCTAAAATACTGTGTGATTTAAAAGTGTCTGAGTTGCGTCGAGAACTAGAGGATCGTGATCTGGAGACGACAGGGAAGAAAGAAGAACTGGCAGAGCGGCGCAAAGAAGCACTAGATTGTGAAGGTTTGGTCTCGGAAACCTATCTATTTTCTGATGATGCGTCTTCTATAATTTCTTCTATGGAAAGTAAGATCTCTTGCTCAAAAACTGATATCTTCTAATATAACCTTTATGAAAACCCATATTTCCTTTAACATGTCTTCTTTAAGAACCGAAAGTTTTTCCAATTTGGAAAATAAAATGTCTTCTATAGAAAATAAAATTTCTTCTGATGTTTTTTCTATAAAAATTGATATTTTCTGCTTAGAAACTAAAGTTTCTTTCGATATATCTTTCTTGGATGATAAAGTTGTTGCTTTCGAAAGTAAAGTTTTCTTCTAATATTTCTTCCTTAGAAGAAAAGGTGTCTGCTGAAATATCTTCTATGGAAATTAAAGTCTCCTCTGATATATCTTCTATAAGAAATTAAATTTCTTCTTTTGAGGAGAAACTAATGTCTTTCATCGAGTAGAAAATAAAACAGATGGAAAAGAAGATAGAAGAACTGGAACATACAGAACACTCCAAGGACAGTAGAATAAAAGTGTCATGAAGTGGAGTCGAAGTTGAAATTGGGAGCAGCTGTAAACTCTGCTCGTGTTGAAGCCCCAACTTTGGATGAAAAGATGTCATGGAACAACTACCTTAAACACTTCGAAACAGCTGTCAGAGCAATCAAATGGTGCGAGAGAGAGAAGGCACTAAATTTGACCATCGCCCCTCGAGGAGACGCTTTACATGTCCTTCATACTATACCTGTGGAAGAGAAAGATGATTTTGAACAACTCAAAAAAAAGATTAAATATGCAATATAGTCACGAACACTTGGAGCATTTATACCAGTCACAGTTAAGGAATCGCAAACAGAAACGAGACGAGACTCTTCCAATAGGTTAACATAATGAAGAGCTTTGCTGACAAAAAGATAAAGACAAAGGTGCTGGAATTGCGGTGAACTGGGACATGTACGTAGTTCGTGCAAACGCCGTAAGGTCCCAACAAATGAAGACAACATGCCGCAGGAAAACTAGAGCGGGTCGGCCTAGAGAGGCAGTTTCAATCCGAAATCGTTCCAAAGACCCTCTCATACTGATAGCCTCTTTAAAATTTCGCGATGATAGTGTATACGTAGACGGCGAAGTAAATGGTAAAAAGTATACACTGTCGGTGGATACTGGAGCAACTAGGACCATTATACGACCAACAACCATAAATAACAGTAAGAGGCTTCTACCAAAAAGATTGCGACTGCGGACTGCTACAGGTGAAAGTTCCAACATCCATGGGGAAATCCAGGTTCAATTGGGAATTGGTACATACTGTTATTGTCGCTGATATCAAAGATGTTCTTGGAATGGACATAAAGAACTTACATGGTTTCTAGTTAGACTTTAAGAACAGAGTGATCAAAGTTGGTGCTAAAGAGGTATTCCTATGTCCGTATGGTAACAGTACCGTGCCAGTTGCTATACAGGAAGATACGGTGATACCTGACAGAAGTAACACCATTATAGTAGCACGGCTTCAAGAAACTATGGAAGAAGGAACATCTGTAACCCTGGAACCACAATGAAGAAGTTGGACGAGGAATTCTGATCGAAAAGGGGTTGGTCACGACTGCTAAAGAGATTCTAGTTCCATTTATAAAGGTTAATGATCACCCAATTACCATCAAGAAAAAAACCAGAATCGGAACTTGTGTACCAGTAACTTCCATAGTTCGCCAGACAGCAACTTCTGATAATTCCAACGACAAATTCGAGAAAATGATTGCAGTTGCTGGTCAAACTCTGAATAAATTGGAGAAAAAGAAAATAAAGGAATTTCTTCGACGATATCGTGACATTTTTGTATCAAAAGGAGGTAAAACAGGAAGAACTTCTGTGGTAAAACACAAAATTGGCACTGGTGACGCCAGGTCGATTCGTCAATCAGCTCGAAGATTACCAAAGGCCAAGAGAGAGGAAGGTGAGAGGATTGTTCAGGAAATAAAAAAAGAACCTTCTATCAGCCCATGGGTGTATCCGGTAGTCCAGGTCCAGAAAAAGGATGGAGCTACGAGGTTCTATGTGGATTACCGTCAGTTGACAGTTACCTTCTGCTTCGTATCGACGATACCTTGGACACATTGGACGGAATTAAACTATTCTTTACCTTAGACTTGAAGTCTGGATACTGGCAGGTGAAAATTGACCCACTAGATAAAGAAAATATAGCTATTACCACCGGATCTATATTGTGGCAATTCAGTGTTATGCCATTTGGACTATGTAATGCTCCCGCGACATATGACAGACTTATGAAAAACGTATTGAGAGCGTTATCCTGGAAAACATGCCTGGAGTATTTAAACAACATCATAGTCTTGGGAAAGACCTTTGATGAACATCTAACGAACTTAGAAGATGTTTTTAAAATAATTCAAGCTGTCCAATTAATGCTAAACCCCAAGAAGTGCCAACAACAAATAAAATTAATTACCTGGGTCATACAGTCAGACGGATGGCGTGGCTGTATATAAGGAAAAAGTCGCTTTTATCAAAGAGTGGCCACAACCAACTGATAAACATCAAATAAGAAGTTTTCTTGGGCCATGTACGTAATATAGAAGATTCATCAGGAAGTTTGCAGATATTGCTTAGCCATTAACACGACTCACAGAAGAAGCGGGAGGATTCTACTGGGCGAGGACTGCCAAACTGCCTTTGAAACATTAAAGAAGCATTTAACAATAATGCCAATACTAGGCTACCCACTACCAGAGGCTATTTAATACAAATATATATATTTCTATTAGAATACAATGTAATATTTCTGCTTTTTGTATTGTAATAGAAATATATCGTCGGCTTACTGCCAAAACAAGAAAAGTACATTTTTACCATTTTTGCGTTAAGTGCATTTTCGTACCCAAGATGGTTATAAAAATATACTGCAAAAACCAGATAAATATAGGCTTGTTTTGGCAATAATTCATTTTGCTCAAAATTGTACAGCTAGAACAAGTTAAGTGCACATTTAACGAAAAGTAAGAATTTCATATGCAATAAGTGCCATTTAACTTATTTAGGCTGTTGAAGTTTAGAAGATTGTTAGAATGCCTATGCGTATCTAATTTTTGCAGTTTATTTTATCGTTACATTAGCATGCTTAGATTTTAGAGTGCAAAACCAAATAAGCATCACTTAACTTTTTTCCTGAATTCCCAATTTTAATCAAAATAGTTTATTAAGTACAGAAAAAAATTGTTCTACTAGTTATACATTTGCTAAATATTATTTTCTTTTTATTTCTGGTAATAATTATGTTTATAGTACCTCAATCTATGTTATTTTACCACTTAATAAATGTTTTCTTTTATGAAGTTGTTTTAGGGTAGGTTAAAACTTTTAAACTTAATTTACTCAAAACTAACAAAATGTAACTTATCCTGTTCTGTCAGTAAGCCGACGATATATTTGTATCAAGTATATGAGTCCCCTAAATGTAAAACTCGGTATTTGCGTTACAAAAATTTTCAGGAAGGGCAAAAAACTGTCAGTAATTAAAATACATATGTATTCGTTTTAAATTTTGTTTTTAGTTGGCTCTAGTGATTTTGTTTTGAAATAACTATGCTCTTCATTCCGAAATCCTACCAAAAATTAAAAAAATACTTTTAAAATTAAAATACCGAGTTTTGCATTTATGTTTTAAAAATACCCAGTTTTGCAACTCACAATAATTGCAAATACCGATAAGTGCATAGTTGTCTTATTTTAGAACATTTATTTTCTCACAATTTTTTTTTAAAGATACAAAGATATAAATTAAAACATTTTTATTAGGTGTAATAAAATACATACAAGCAAAAAAATCTTCCTTAAATAAGCAAACTACAAATGAATAAATTAAAATGTCTACGTGCCCGTGCACTTACTTAATCACGTGACTATTAGGCGCAACGCCATTGGCAGGTTACAATTAAGTAGTTTTGCATTTGACAAGTGAGGGCAAATACAGAGTTTTGCATCTAGTCTTCGTTTTCTAAAGCGTTTTTAATGCAGAAATAATAAGTTTTGCATCTTATTTTAGAAGATGAATGGCAGAGTTTGACATAAGGAATTGAATGGCGCCAAAACATTACTTTTGAAAATATATAGGGTGTACCAGCCTTCTCGTAGACTAGGCCAAGAGCCG